TTTATTTATTTATTTTGAGACGGAGTTTCGCTCTTGTTACCCAGGCTGGTGTGCAATAATGTGATCTCGGCTCATCGCAACTTCCGCCTCCTGGGTTCAAGCAATTCTCCTGCCTCAGCATCCCGAGTAGGTGGGACCACAGGCGTGCGCCACCATGCCCAGCTGATTTTTGTATTTTTAGTAGAGATGAGGTTTCACCATGTTGACCAGGATGGCCTTGATCTCTTGACCTTGTGATCTGCCTGCCTCGGCCTCCCAAAGTGTTGGGATTACAGACGTGAGCCACAGCAGATTTTTGTACTTTTAGTAGAGACAGGGCTTTGCTTGGCCAGGCTGGCCTCAAACTCCTGACCTCAGGTGATCCACCTGCCTCAGCCTCCCGAAGTACTGGGATTACAGGTGTGAGCCACTGCGCCCAGCTGCCCAAGTCTTCATGGCAAGTAAGTGGCGGAGCTGGGATTCAAATAAATAGCAGTCAGTGAAGCACCACGCTCTGTCAGCCAGCGCAAGCTGATTTGTGTTACTTCCAACCGAGAATGTCCTGGTGAATATGAAATATTCTATCCAGTGACGTGCTGTGATTGTTTAAACATTCATAGACATGTAGGGTGCGCCTGTTCTGTGCTGAGCATCTTTAGCGGTGGAAAAAGACCCCCCAATATGTACCAGACATGCAAGACTCTCTGTTTTTGAGAGAAGTCAAGGTTGTCTCTCCCTCTCAGCTTTTGCACTAGTTTTTCCTTTGTCTGGAACATTCTGCTGCTCCCATAACTTCACTCAACCAACCAACTCCCAGGACCAGCCCTCACCTCCAAAGTCTCCGCTTGCGTGAAGGCTGTGCTGATTCCGCTGAAGTCACTGCCACCACCCTTCCCTGCTGCTCATCTGTCGTCTCGTGCTGTTGTCTTCATGACACTTGGCAGCCTCCACCGGTAAGTTGTGGGCTGTCTACCTGTCTGTGTTCTATCTCCCTCCACGGCAACGTGTGGAGGCTGCCTGGCATACCGGAGGCTCACGACGTCGAATGTGTAGTTAAGTGAATGACTGTATACCTTTTTTAATTTAGCCAATTATTTCATCAGGATGAATCCCCTAGGAATGGAATGGCTCTGCCTAAAGGGCATTTGTATCCTAGATACTTGGGTACCCAGGAGTGGCTGTGCCCAGAAAATCAGCCTGAGTTTCCCCCTTGTTTGCTCTAACAAACCCCTGACTTTTCCCCTCATGAGTTTCTGCTCCGCACGGATGAAAAGAGTCCTGTTTTCTCTTGCTTCCTTTTCTCAGTGGTACAGCAATGAATCTTACCCACTCTGTCAGCATCTGTGTCTTCTTCATTCCTCAAAGATGCTAAAAAAGATAAACGATCCAGAAGGAAGTCTGAGCTAGGAGTTGCCTAAATGCACAGCCGCTTCCGACCTCACAGGTCCCTAGGACCTGGGCTCAATGAGCTTTGAAAATGTAAGCAAAGCGGTTACACAGTCCTGGGCCTCTGCAGCTTCAAGGCTCTCTTGTGAGGCTCTGATATGTCCTTTGACTTTCTGTTCCGCTTTTAGAAACATCTAGATGCCATTATCGGGGGAATGAAAAGAGTGGGAACAGACAGTAACTCACGGGTTTGCTGACATGTATGCCACAGGAGAGCTGTGTTTTCAGGGGACCTTTGCAGACTGTGCCAATGGATCTGTGACTCATGGGAAATGGAATGCTAATGTTATGTTGATATGAAGCCCTTTCCAGTCGTCGTGGGCTGGATTTCGGTAGTTAAAATGGACATACACATTTACTTTCTTTAAAATGTGCAACTTGTCCCCCGCTTATGATACTGAACTCTTCTTCCAAGTTAAATGACTTAAATTTCTTGCTATATATGAAGTCCACATCATTAAATTAAAAAGATACAGTTTGTCTTCTTACAAAAGTTGTACTTTCTTATTGTAAAGCCCTCAAATTATACCTATTGAATTTTTGATGCATATCTTAATAAATTTAAATTGTATGCGTATGAAAGTACTCAAAGAAACATTTTGTTGCAGCTATGCTTTGGAATGATGTGCACCTGTTAAAAAATAAGACAGGTCAATTGTTTTTTTTGAGTAACAGCCCCAACCCCGTACGTGGGTGCCCTTAGTCCCCGCAGTGATGAGGGATTGAGAAAAGGAAATAGAGACATAAGAGCAGAATTTACAGCATGGGTCCAGGGGGCCATCGCAAGCGTGGGAACCCAGTCAGCCCCAAGCTCTGGGCTTTTATTATGTGCATAATCTCATGGATCTTATGGGCGTGGAAGGGGAGAGTGAAGGGGTAGGTAAGACAGCTGGGCGGAGAGCACCGGAGATCCTTCTAAGGCGTGCTAAACTAGTGCCCTGAGCATTTAACAGCACTTGAGATCCTTCTAAGGCCTGCTAAACTAGCACTGAGTTTATGACCAGTTGTTATCAGGATGCAGCTGCATCAGAAGTATAGTGGATGAGGAGCTACCAGGTCTGACCACTCCCAGTGCATCCAGGGGCTTTATCTCCCAAGCATTGAGGGCATAGAGCAATTAAAGTCACTCCATATTCCGAGAGCCTTGGCAGAGCCTGAGGCGTTCTGTGATCTCTGCCCTGCAAGGCTTTTCTCCTCCTTCCAGCTCCCAGCTGCAAAGACCCTCCCAGATCTTGTGAGCAGAGGTCACCTCCCTTCTCAGAGATCTTTGCATCAGCACTCTTTATGAGACTCTCATGCAGTCTCCATGTTGAGAAGGCATTTGTGGGACCACAGCAGTATTCCCTGCGCTGCAGCCACCCCCGTGTCACTGCGCACTCAGATGGTCTTTACCTTAGGCCTCCTGTTGCCGCTTGATTTCTAATTAAGTGCAGCAATAATATAGTTTAGTTTGGTGTATAAACTTCAGTGTACCCTGAGCCCAGCAAGCTTATAATTATTGAGCTAGAATTAACATAGGTCTCCCCCGGCCATCTGGATCCACGGTTTATCACACAAAAACAGTTTTACAATGCATTGTATTTATAAAAAGCGATCCCACTTGTGAATGACACAGGGCATCCCTCTGTGGAAGTTCTGCCCTAGGGTTGCCCTTGGTGGAAATGTAGCACTCTGTTATCTTGGGGGGAGATATCACTGCTGTCTTTTGTTTATATAACCTAGGTTATTTAAGCTTTACGTGCCTCAGTTTCTTTATCTGTATTATAAGCATAATAGTACTGACGTCATAGAGTTCTTGTGCAAATTGATGAGCTAATATTTGTAAACTCCTAGAGGTTCTGTTAGACGTTCACACATGTATACGTGTGTGAATATGATTGACAGGTTTACCTGAATGCTAATCATCAGAGAATCCCACCCTGTGTTCAACACAGAAGTGTAAACTTCCGCTTGTTAAATGGAATTACCCAGTAAAAATGCCATCGGGTGCCGAGTGCATTGGGCACCTGGGGTTACAGGAGCATTTGATACTCTTGTTGCTCTTGAGAGTCTAGATTCTTGGTGTTAAGAGGTGACTTCAGCAAACATGAACTCTCAGAATTACTCCAAAGCACACACATGGCCCCAGTTTGCAGACAGGCCACGGGCAATGGCAAAGTGAAGAGCTACATCCATTGGAGTAGCAATTAAGGCCCATTGCAGTTTTGTCATGCTAATGATGGTAGCGGTTGCTTCCCTGGCAATTACTAAGCACCCAGCGCAGGTTAATCAGCATGGTATGTTATCTCCTGCCATCATCACAGAAGCCCACCGAAGCAGGGAGTGTTATTATCCACATTTTACCGATGAGGAAACTGAGGCACAGAATCATTAACCCCTTCCGAACTGCACCGCTGGTAGGCAGCAGAGCCAGGAGTGGAACCACTGTCCTGTCCTGCGTCTCAGGAATGACACGTGCAGAGGCGAGAAGTACCCCATCCTCCGGGGGAGCTCAAGCACCAGGGAGAGCGCCATAACGTTAATCAGTGTAAGGGTTATTGCCGAGTTTAAAATGAGGAACCTGAGGCTGGTGTGGGAAAATTAAATTCCAATTTATTCAGCTGCCGGGCGAGGTTCTACCGGGAAAGAGGGCGGTGGCAGAGAAGCCGCGGCGGGTTCCCGAGACTCCGGGTTTTTATGGCGAGCAAGGAGGAGCAGAGTGTTCTGATTGGCTATGGAGAACAGGATGTGGGTGGGGCAAGCTACGATTGGTTGCAAATTGTGGTGGGCTTTTGGGGCAAGCTGCTATTGGGCAAGTTTTGGCGGGGCTTTCTTTAAATTTTGGCGGGCTAGGTGCCGAGTGCAAAACTGGGTGTTGAGTGCACAGGGGTGTGTTCTGGGGGCTGGGAGGGCTGCGTGGCTGTGCTGAGTGCCCATGTAGTCAGGGGCTGAGCTCAGGGGTGGGTGTGTCCGGTGAGGCCCCCGGCCTTACACTCAGCATGGGTAATGTACGCACATTCTGCAGACGTGAGCACTGCGGGGACGGGGCCCGAGTACAGGCTGCCCCCTCTGCTCTGCTCTTGGAACCCTGGAAGGAACACACGGCGGGAGGCAGGAAGGGGTCATGACCTCAGGGACCTCCCGTCACCTGTGCCTTTCCGATCGCAGTGACATCCGAGTATTCAAACACAGGACAGCTGCAGACAGCCCTTGGCTTACGATGGTTTGACTCAGGATGTGTCTGCTGTACATGGTGAAGAAGCAATAGTACATATTCAGTAGACACCATACTTCCCGCAGCCACGCAACCATTCTGGTTTTCACTTTCAGTATGGTATCCAATACATTTCATGAGATAGTCAAGACTTTATTGTAAAGCAGGCTTTATGTTGGATGATTTTGCTCACCTGTAGGAAAATGTAAGTGTTCTGAGCACACGTAAGGCAAGCTGGCTGAGCTGTGATGTCCGTAGGCTGGGTGTATTAAGTGCATTTCTGACATCTGATATTTTCCCCAATCACGGGTTTAACAGGAGGTAACCCTACTGTAAGTCCAGGAGCATCTGCACTTCCCTGATGCTCAGTGATATGTTCCAGTGCCATGTTACATGAACTGAGAGAATGTCTGTTTCCAATGTGGTACATAAATATGGCTGATAAAGAAAGCACCTTCCCAACTCTCTCAAAAGAATCCTGGTCGGGCATGGTGGCTCACACCTGTAGTTCCAGCATTTTGGGAGACTGGGGCGGGTGGATCATGAGGTCAGGGGTTCGAAATCAGCCTGGCCAACATGATGAAACCTTATCTCTACTAAAAATACTAAAATTAGCTGGGCATGGTAATGTGCACCTGTAATCCCAGCTACTCGGGAGGCTGAGGCAGGAGAATCTCTTGATCCCAGGAGGTGGAGGTTGCAGTGAGCCAAGATTATGCCACTAACTCCAGCCTGGGCAGCAAAGCAAGACTCTATCTCAAAAAACAAACAAAAAGAATCCCATGGGATTCAAACAGAAGAACTGGATTCAAACAAAAAGATTCCCATGGGCCCCATGCGGTGGCTCACACCTATAATTCTAGCACTTTGGGAGGTAGGAGGATTGCTTGAACGCAGGAGGTCAAGACCAGCTTCAGCAACAAATCAAGACCCCATCTCTACAAAAACTAAAAATAAAAGGAGATTAGTCAAGTTCAGTGGCACTAGCCTGTAGTCCCAGCGTTGGTCACACCACTGCAGTAGGTAACCCCACTGTAAGTCAAGTAGATGAACTGAGGGAATAGCCTCAGCAACACAGCAAGACCCTGTCCCTGGGGAAAAAAACCCCAGTCTAAGTATTATAAAATGTGCAATCCTAACTCATAAGCAGATCCTTAGTTTTCTGTTTCCCTGATAACTATGTGAGCCCTTCACAACTTTGAGTATTTTACTCCTGGATAAGCACCCCTTAATAGATTTAAAAAGTCCTTGCCAGTTAAGAACTCTTTCAAATACATGTGAGCAGCACTCCTTTTTAATAGCCTTCCTAGGACTGGTTAACATACAAGATAATTCTTCCTCGAGACTCTCTTCCCCAGAGAGTCAGGGGGCTTTTATACCTCCCCTCAACAAGGCTGCTTTGCAGGGCAGTATTATGTACTCAGGTATGCAAGAAAGCCTGACATTCTGGTATGTTAGGGACTGTTATGGTTTGGCTGTGTCCCCACCCAAGTCTCATCTTGAATTGTAGCTTCCATAATCCCCCCATGTCATGGGAGACACCCTGTAGAGATCATTGAATCATGGGGGCGGTCCCCCCATACCATTCTCATGGTAGTGAATAAGTCTTCTGAGGTCTGATGTTTTTTTAAGGGGTTTCCCCTTTTGCTTGGCCCTCATTCTCTCTTGCCTGCTGCCATGTAAGACATGACTTTTGCCTTCCGATATAATTGTGAAGCCTCCCCAGCCGTGCGGAACTGTGAGTCTATTAAACCTCTTTTCCTTGATAAATTACCCGGTCTTGGGTATGTCTTTTTTAGCAGTGTGAGAACAGACTAATACAGGGACCTAAGGGAGGGGCACCAGCTTCAGGCTAAGGAGGACATCCCTTCTCTCGCTACAGTGAAGCTCTTATAAAATGAAGAAATCTTCTCTTTTTTTTTTGAAAGGTTTTCAAAAAAATTATTTTCATAAATTAACACACATAACAAAATCTCCTCTTTAAACTGTGAGTCTGTAAGCATTTTCTCCACCATGACCACAGCTGAACGGGCTGTTTTACATGCACCATGCTTACTGCACTTGATGTAGGCTCGAGGAGCTATTCAAGGATCATTGGAAACAAATGTGATTTTCTCTTTAGCTGGTACCTTTAGAACTGAACTGCCAACATCAGGGGCAATCCCACCGTATCCTAAAAGTTTGTTGAAAATCCATGATAGATCTATATTACCTGATGTATGTAAGAATGCTTTTGGCTAAAAATAGCAGAAAGCCCAATTTATTTGTGGCTTTAGTAAACAACAGTGCATTTTTCTAACTTAACAAGAAGTATAGGGGGAGGCTGTTGCCAGCATCAGCGGAGCTGCTGACAGGGCTGTCGGGCTCCCAAGCTCTGCCTCTGTTTGGGCTTCACCATCTTTCATGTTGATTTCCTTCTTATCCTGTCACTGTGAGGTCTTGAAGCGATGATGGATGATGAAGCCCTGATCCAGGCAGAAGAAAGAGGAAGAGCTGATTCTGTTTTGAATTCTTTTGTACATATATCTAGAAGTAGAATTACTAAATTGTATATTAATTCTATTTTAATTTTTTAAAAAAAATTTAATATATATATATTTTTATTGTACTTTAGGTTCTGGGGTACATGTACTTATCATGCAGGAGTGTTGCATAAGTACACACATGGCAATGTGGTTTGCTGCCTCCATCCCCCTGTCACTTACATCTGGCATTTCTCCCCATGTTATCCCTCTCTGACTTCCCCACCCCTCCACTGTCCCTCCCTTGTACCCTGAACAGACCCCAGTGTGTAATGCTCCGCTCCCTGTGTCCATGTGTTCTCATTGTTCAACACCCGCCTATGAGTAAGAACATGTGGTGTTTATTTTCTGTTCTTGTGTCAGCTTGCTGAGAATGATGGTTTCCAGATTCATCCATGTCCCTACAAAGGACACAAACATCATTTTTTATGGTTGCATAATATTTCATGGTGTATATGTCACATTTTCCTTGTCCAGTCTATCATATATAATTTACTTTTAATTTTTTAAGAGACCATCCTTAAAAAATTAAAAACCACGTTCTCCTCACCACAATGAGATAACTGCCACCTTCTACCCATTACGATGGCCACTGTCAAAAAAAAGAGAGGTTGTGATGACAGCAAAAACCTTGCATAAAGCTGATAGGAATGTAAGATGGCACAGCTGCTATGGAAACAATACGGCATTTCCTTAAAAAATTAAAAGTAGAATTAATATGTGATCAAGCAATTCTACTTCTAGCTGTATATACAAAAGAGTTGAAAACAGAATCTCAAGGAGAATTTGTGCACCTTTATTTTATAGCAGTATTACTCAGTGATATGGTTTGTCTGTGTTCCCAGTCTCATCTTGAATTGTAGCTCCCACAATGCCCACATGTCATGGGAGGGACCCGGTGGGAGGTGATTGAATCATGGGGATGGGTCTTTCCCATGCTGTTCTCGTGATAAAGAGTGAGTCTTGTGAGATCTGATGGTTTTATAAAGGGAAGGTTTTCTGCACATGTTCTCTTCACTTGCCTGCTGCCATGTGAGATGTGCTTTTGCTCCTCCTTGCCTTTTGCCATGATTATGAGGCCTCCCAGCCATGTGGGACTGTGAGTCTATTAAACCACTTTCCTTATGAATTAACAGGTCTTGGGTAGGTCTTTATCAGCAGCATGAAAACAGACTAACGTACTCACAATAGCCAAGAAGTGGGAGCAACTTAGGTATCCATTGAGGGACGAATGGGTAAAGTGTGGCATATCCACATGGTGGAATATTCAGCCTTAAAAACAAAAACTCTGACACATGCTACAACACAGATGATCCTGGAGGGCATTATTCTATGTGAGAAAAGCCATTCATAGCAAGACAAATGCTATAAGGTCTCAGGAATTTGAGGCTCCTGGAGAGATCATATGCATGGAGATGGAAGTAGAGTGATGATTGCAGGGGCTGGGGGGCACAGGGAACAGGATTCGCTGTTTGCTGCGGACAGAGTTTCAGTTTGTGAAGATGAAAAGAGTTCTAGGGGAGGGTGGTGATAATGGTGCACAACAACATGAATGTATGGTAGGAAAAGCTGTGAGTCACCTCTACCCATCCTAGTTCTTAACTGGGATCTTCAGCTGGGTCTAGGAACCAAATTAACACATGACAGATGAACTGGAGAAAAGCATGCATGTTTTATTAATTTAACATGTACATGTACATGGGGACCCTCACAAGAGAGTGAAGACCCAAAGAAATAGCCAAAGCAGAAAGCTTTTATGCTTTTCAGAAAAAGAACAATACATTTTATGGGACAGTTGATACAGGGCAGGTTCTTGGCTTCGGGAAGGGAATTCAAGGTGATAGAAGAAAACAGCCTTATTGAGGTGGCAGCAGGGTAACAGCTCTGTGACTGCTTCTGTAGAGCAGGGCTGCCTCACAGGCAGTGCATGGAGAGTGGCAGCCCAGGGCGGCTCTGCAGTCATAAGTATACCCACTTTCAGTGATATGCTAATGAGGGGGCGAGCTAGTCACTATTAGCTGGAATATGGGTGGTAACTTCCAGGGTGTTGCCATGGCAACAGTAAACCGTCATGGCTCTGGTGAGCATGCCTTATAGAGCTGGGCTTCCTACACCTCTTTCAGGTTTCATCCAGTCTTTAATCTGGTCTGGAGTGCTGCCTGCTTCCTGCCTCACAACAGCAACACAGAGCTGTCTGGGCTAGGGATAGTGACTTTCAGGAAAGTCACAAGGAGGTGCATAGAGGGGGCATAAAAGCTCATAAAGGATAAGGGTTATTCAGTAAGTTTATTTAGACAGACCCATTGTAGCCCTAATTCTCAGCCACTGGAGACAAGGGTCATTTCCCTGTGTTAATACAGGGAAGATAGCTTTCTCTCAGGAATTTTTGTGGCTTGCAATAGGTAAGAAAGGGCAACTCAGATAGCCCTTTCTGTATCTTCTGCTTCTTAAGTGCTTTCAGCTCAAAAGTATTTGGGTCAAGAAGCATATTTTGGGTGTGATAGATTCTGATATCCTTCATTACTTAACACTGTTAGATTATACACCAAGAAATGGGGAAGATGGTATATTTCATGGTATGTGTTTTATCACCATCCAAAATTTCAAAGAACACAGGAATGAAGAGTCACACACACAGAATTCTCCTGAAAAGGCTTTACCATTTCATTGTGGGAAGGGAATGGATTCTAGACAGTATAAGTTAGGGCCAATAACCTCTATGTAGTAGTAGCTGAAAACAAGTAAGGCTTAATTTTGGCTCATGCTTCATGTCCACTATGGGTCAGCAGGGAGCTTCTGCTCCTGGCAGTCAGTAGGGGTTTAGCAAGCAGCCACCCCATTTCAACCTTCCTGGACAATGTGTAGGAAGGAATAGAAGAAGGCAGCATTGTGCAGGAGTGTTTAATCTTCTACCCAGAATCATACAAGGAACTTCTGCCTCCACCTCACTGACCAGAACAAGTCCAGGGATTTCACCCACCTACAAGGAAATCAGGAAGTGTGGTTCCACCACGTAAGAAAGAACAGAGAGCAGACACTGGTGAGTAGAAGAGCCTACTGCAGAGCCCTTCCCACCATATTCCACCTTGCAGCTCATCAGCCATGTTAAAAGGTGATCTTCAAAGAAGGGCAAAATCATGACTCTCCTGTGGATATCAAAATTAACATGGTTTAAAATTTATTTAACTCATGAGGACACCAAGAAGATATTAACCAGAACAAAAGAGAATTCAAAGAACAGGTACAAGTATAAATGAGTGATGTTGAAACACATGTAAAAAGAGAGCACACACAGATATCCACAAAAGGAGATGGAAGGAAGGAATTTGGTTTAACCTCTTGTGGACAGAACAGAATTTGAATTTCTATGAACAAATTATTTGCATTGCTATCAATTACTTACAACTTTCAGAGTTGTAGAATTGCTTCCACAGAATCAAATAACTGAAGGATGCCTCTCGATCTAGACAATCCACACTTTTCCACTGAAGTACAAGTATTTTCCTACAGCCAGAACCAGGTCAAGCGCCCACTTTTAGATCAATCACAGGCCAAGAGGAATGCAATCCCCATGATTGGATTAGAGCAATGCTTTGACTCTAGGGCTCCCGTAGGGCTAGCTGCTGCCTGACAAAGACTGTATTTCCTCACTGCTTGAACAAAGAGGGTGGTTTTCTTCAGGAAATAAGCGGGGTGTTTTCTTTTCCTTATTAAGACAGGGTCTTGCCCTGTCCCTCAGCCTGGAGTGCAATGGTGTGACCACGGCTCACTGCAGCCTCAACCTCCCAGGCTTAGCGATCCCCCTACCTCAACCTCCTGAGTAGCTGGGACTATAGGCATACATCACAACACCAGCTAATTTTTAAATTTTTTTTATAGCGTTGGAGGGTCACTTTGTTTTCCAGGCTGGTCTTGAACTCCTGGGCTCAAGAAAACCTCCTCCCTCGACTTCCTAAAGTTCTGAGAATACAGGTGTAAGCCACTGTGCCCAGGCAGGTTTGGTGGCAATGAATAGAATTTTCTATATTATCATATAAACACACACACACACACAAACACACATACAAATGCACATATGCACGCACACACACACATAATAGCATTTTTTTTCCAGAAGGAATGTGATATCGATTTCTCAGAAACTGATTGTTGCTAAAATATCTGTAACCTTTTTATGTCCAATAAAAAGATTACCAGAAAGAAAAGCCTGTAATTTTTGAAGCTCTCTTAAAATTATTTTCCCGTTGTGCTGAAGTAATTTTGCCTTCAACCTTTCTTAACCCTACTATATAATCTTGTCGTTTGAGTGTTGGGTCCAGAGAGGCATCTATAGTTTCATGTTTTCCTTCTTCCTTTCCTATGCTGAAGGGGTATCAATACAAATTGTAATTATATATCTCACACACTTCTTACGAGGCAAGAGAAAGAAAAATCGACATGATAGCACTATTACAGCTTTGCGTTTCCAAAACAGGAATGTTGGTACCAGACGGTGAGCTCGCCGCCTGATGACGGCATTGTGAAGGTGCATGCTTCTGAGAGAAGAAAAGACTTTATTGAAAGGTTAACTGGCAAGGAGGTATGAGGCGATTCTCAAAGCTGGGGAACGGGGCAGGTTTTATAGGCAGAGGGTAGCCATGAGGAAGCTAGAAATGTGCAGCAAGGCATGAGCTGATTAAGTTATGTAAAGAGGCAGTGTGAGCTCTTGGTTCTGCAGTTCCTACTGCAACAAAACAGGGCACCCCTCAATCCTTTTTTTTTTTTGGAAACGGAATCTTGCTCCGTGGCCCAGGCTGGAGTGCAGTGGTGCGATCTCAGCCCACTGCAACCTCTGGCTCCCAGGTTCAAGCGATTCTCCTGCTTCGGCCTCCTGGGTAGCGCCCCTCAATTCTTCATTGGTCCCTGTTCCTGTATCTGAGCACTTATGCTCCACCCGTGGTTGACTTGTTCATTCACAGCAGCTCTGGGGTCACGAATGGGGCACACCTGGTTCATCAGGGCATGCTCCATTGCAGGACCTGCAGCCGTGGGGTCTGTGGTGACTGGAAAGCAGCTCATCATTCAACCCCATTGGACTGAGTCTGTGGTTACAATGTCATCGGGAAAACTTTTCTGGGCAGTCAAACGTCTGCAAACCCAGAAACGGTAGCAAAAAATACTAACAGAACATGCTTTAAAAGAAGGTGTCATCAACTCACAAAATCTCAGGGGCCAGCAACCTGTAGAGTGAACAAGCTAGTATGTGGACAGGTAGCGGTTCTAGCTCGATGTCAGTTAATTACTGGCATTCCAAGTGCCAAACCTAAAGCTGCTGGTGTTTTACTATTTCAGAAAAAAAAAAAAAAGGCAGAAATCTAAATCCTCACTGGAAATTTCTCAAGTTTTAAAAGTTGAATTCTTGGTTGGGCATGGTGGCTCACGCCTATAACCCCAGCATTTTGGAAGGATGAGGCAGAAGGATAGTTTGAGACCAGGAGTTTGAGACCAGCCTGGAAAACATGAGGAAACCCCATTTCTGCAAGAAATACAAATAGTAGCCAAGTCTACTGGCATGCATCTGTAGTCCCAGCTACTTCAGAGACTGGGGTGGGAGGATCAGCTAAGCCCAGAAGGTCGAGGCTGCAATGAGCTGAGATTGCATCCCGGCACTCCAGCCTGAACCACAGAGTGAGACCCTATCTCAGGGAAAAACAGCAGCCACAACAAACTAAAGAAGGCCAGCTTACAATCTCTGGTTTAATAACTAGGAGGCATATGTCTCCTTTCACATGCAAGTATTAGAAAACGTGTGTCGGAGCTGGGAGTCAGTGGGCTGCTGATTCCATCTGCATAGAATGTTTCCTTTTGTACATTTCAAGCAATGTGTAGGAAGAACAACTGCCGGGTTCAATAGCTGCTTTCCACCCACCCCAGCACGTTTGCACGGGTGGCACAAAACACATTAGATAGCTTTTTCAGCTCCTCCATGCAGAGAACTGTTATAGTGATAACAGTTCCTTTCAATTCATCTCCCCAAACAGGGATAAACTCACTGATTTGCACAATATATGTCTAAAGGCTCCAGAAACAGACTGCCTGGCTCCAGTGAATTGGGCCAGGTTCCATGTCAGGAGAAGTTACGCGTGACAGAAAGCCCCAGGGTTTGCAGCTTTGATGACACATCTTCAGCCATTGGTACTGTCTGTTTCTCCTCCATGCTTGTGAAGGCAGAATGCTAATGCTGCACTTAAAATGAGTCTACCTGCCTGAGACTTCAGGAGGGTGAAAAGAAGACAGAGCGAAACCCCTATGCAGAGCAGGGACTTGAAACCTCGTGAGAACCACGGTCTTCACACGGATGGGCTGGCCGCTATGCTACTGTCTTTTTCTGGGATTTAAAAAAACAAATCTTTTTGGAGAAGTACTAGTTGATTTTTCTTTTTATTCAATCTGCCCATCTTAACCAAGCAGAGATTGAAAGCCCATGCTCCCAATGGGACTAGGAAATTAGTTTTGAAGCACTTCAGTCAATCACATATCCATCTCTGGCCTCAGCTCGGATGGTTTGTTTGCAAATAACAGAATAGACAGCTCAAGTCGGTTTAGACAGTAGAAAAAAATGGACACACATAATTGACACATTTAGAGCTATTTTGGCATCAGGAACAGACTGATCCAGGGATTTAGGCATGCAATTGGAACCCCGGTTTCCCTTCTCTAATTGTCCTGGTCCTCTTCCTCCTGCCTCATCTTTATCCACAGGCTGGAGTTTCTCATGATGGAAAACTTGCCATACTGATTCCAGCCTCAGGTGTCGTGAGCACTTCAATCCAGTATTTCAATATAACATCCTGACGTTCACTCTCCTGGGACCCGTTTGGCCGTGTGCTTACTTGTGTGCCAATCACTGCGGGTCACAATAAAACTGTTTGGTGACTTGGCCGAGATCTTGCAAGCTCAATTCTGGAGTAGGGATGTGGAGGTAGCTTCCTAGGAACTTGCTGTGGCTTCAAACAGAAGTTGGAAGTTAAAAGGGGACAGGGGCTTGTTGGAGGGCTTATTGGGAGTTATCTTAGCCCAAGTTCCCTAAAAAAGCAGAGCCTGTGGGAATATTTACATGTTATACTTTATTGTGGAAGGGAGGGAGGGCATGGCCAACCCTGGAGAATGGAGAGAGAGAGCAGAAAAGTGACAGGGAACAGGGGAGTGAGTGGGAAACAGCGTCCGGGTAGCTGCCTGGCCTTTGCAAGGAAGCACAGCAGTGGCTTGTTCACGTGGCTGTGTCTAAAAGGCCCTCAGAGGCCTGGGAGGATGAGAATGGCTCATTTGGCCGACTCCTTCCTGACTCCGGAGTATCACTAGTCAAAAGCTCTGCGGGCGGTGACTTCTCTGCAGTTCCAGGCAGTTAGTGGCCTTCTGGGCAGCCAGATGGGGGTCAGATCCATGGTGGTGCTGCACCTGCAGCCTGAAACGGTGCAGGAACCGTGCCAGCCATCTTTCATCACGGAGGTCCCGCCCCCGAGTCCATCCTGGGGCCCAAGATGGGGGCTGGAGATGGTGACCGAGACACTGAACGAACAGCCGGGGCTTACGGATCCGAGTGACTCTGAGGATGAGGAGAATGACACTTGAACGAAGTCCTTTATGGGAGGCAACCAAGACAGTGTTCACCACATTTCCGACGTCTCCAGTTCCTCTGGCATCCGACGTCTGCTCCTGAATGAAAACCCCGCCTTTTTTCCCGCTAACATTAAATCAGGATGTGTACGACTGATAAAGAAACAGTTCTGTCCTTTGCAGGGACATTGGTGAAGCTAGAAGCCAGCATTCTCAGCAAACTAACACAGGAACAGAAAACCAAACACTACATGTTCTCACTCATAAGTGGAAGTTGAAAAATGAGAACACATGGACACAGGGAGGGGACCATCACACGCCAGGGCCTGTTGGGGGGTGGGGGGTGAGGGGAGAGAGAGCATTAGGACAAATACCTAATGCATGTGGGACTAAGAGCCTTGATGACAGGTTGTTAGATGCAGCAAACCTATGTAACAAATTTGCACATTCTGGATACGTATCCCAGAACTTAAAACACACACACACAGACACACCCAGAAATTATGGTTGGATCCTCCACCCCACGTGGACTGAGTTACTCACTGAATGCACGTAGGGCACTTACCTCCTGATGGACTGAAGGAGCGTAGACGCACGACCGTGCAGGGATGAGTGTTTCCTAAATGCCTCCACCTTGCGCTGTGCTGTACCAGATGCTGTTCAATATGCTTAGGTAAATGGGCCCCTGCCAGGGGGCATTTGTTTCATGACTCAGATTCCTACATGTAGAGCATGTGTATTCCTCGTCATCACGTCATCGCCGCCACGTGCGCGATTGCTGTGTCTCCTAGCGCTGCAATGGTCCAGAGGAATTTAATGCCAAAAGTTTACCCCAGAGTGGATTTCGCCGGGTTTGACTTTATGAGGGTTTATGATTGGTATAATTTATTTTGAAATTAAATATGACTTGTTTATGAAGGCTGTATGTAGCATAATAGACTGATTATGATATAGAAAAAAATGAACAAGAAAATAAAATTCTCTTCGTAGTTTAACACTCAGAAATACCGTTGTTAACGTCTTGCCGAACACCCTTTCTCCATGCATAGTTATGGCTTTTTATCAATCTGGGACCATACATACTTATTTACTTGCTATTTTGTATGTAATTTCAACATAATTATTAGCAAAAATAGGCTAGACTGTGTTGTGGTAACACAACCCTAATATTAGTAATTTCATACAGCAAATATTTACTTCTTAATCATGCAAGGTCTTCCGCATGTAAACTTTCTGGGTGAAGCTGTCTCAAGAATTCCAGCCTGGGTGACAGAATGAGACTTTGTTTCAAAAAAACCAAAAGAATTCCTCCAAGCCCTGGCCCACCTATCTGAGACCTGTGGCTCCCAGACTGAGAGTGAAAAGGGAAGTGTGAGCGGAGCCGCAGGGGATGGTGCTGAGGGCCAGGTTTGCAGGGAGCCACGCCATTTCCATCTGCTGCACTGAGACTGACGTCACATTACGTCATTCGAGTTTCGGGGGATACTGAGAAAGGTAGACTTCCTGTGTGTTCAGAATCAGGACGTGGGCTGGGCATGGTGGCTCACACCTGTAATCTCAACTGTGTGAGGCCAAGGCAGAAGGATTTCATGAGCCCAGGAGTTCAAGGCCAGCCTGGAAAACAGCCAGACGCCATCTCTACAGTAAAATAAAAATCTTAGCCAGGTGTGATGGCACACACCTGTCGTCCCAGCTACTCGGGAGACTGAGGCAGAGGATTGCTTGAACCCAGGAATTAGAGGCTGCAGTGAGCTATGATTGCACCACTGTACTCCCGTGTGGGCAACAGAGCAAGACCTTGTCTCAAAAAAAAAAAAAAAAAAAAAAGCAAGTAAAAAGGCATCCATGGCCCGCAGCACCTCCAAATCTTTAAATGTCTTGAGAATCTGATTTTCATGGCTTATCTTGTGTTCTCCCACGGCTTGAGAAAACCTGTGGTTTCATAGTTACGAAAATGTCTTTGCTTCTAGTGTTTAACTGTTGTTAATAATATGTCAGTAACCGCAGTGGTAAACATCGACATTTGTCTATCTCTGATTTTTCCTTTAGGATCGATTTAGGATAGATTCCTAGATGCAGAATGGGTACAAATAATTGCTAAAATATATTGAAATACAGAGTATGTCTGGCACTGTGATTCTTACCTACTGTCTCATGTAATGAGCCAGGC